AAAGTCATTCATATGCTTTCACATATGTATAAGATGGATATGGAAGCACGCATGTCTACTAACTTTTTTTTCATGTTAGCTAAAGAAAGGAAAGCATTTTAAACTCGTATAAAATGACTTTGAACTTTCAGTTTGATTCAATTCATCTCTCATTAAATCGCGCATTAGTATTCAAAGTTCTCGTTACACTAAATCGTTGTTTGTCAGTCAGATATCCATATACTATCACTTATTGTTATTGTGTACACGCATTAATCGTAATTGATTAGTAGAAATATAAATAGTCGCTATTGTTAATTAATTACTAATGATGTCAGTGACTCAGTTAGAATGTTAAAAACGATTATCGAACGCTTGCACATTGCTATAGAGTATTGATGTTTAAAGTTACATTACTTACTATCCGTTTCGTCATGTTTATTTATAAATTTATAAATAATTTAAACTGATTAAGCAAAGCGTAATAATGGCAAAGGGTATGAAAATAAATTCGAATTTAACCAACAAAGGCGCAAAGGCATCTTCCTTATCAGAGCTTCCCGTAAACGTTAAGTAGTTGGTTTTTAATTTGGGAGTCTAGTGCAAGCAAATGTCAGAAAATGTCACATACACATTCACATATATCACGTGAATCTATATCTCTTTCTCTAGCTCATTCGAAACGTATATCGCCATTTATTCACTTATATCACGTGAATCTATATTGAAATATCTTTCTCTTTCTCTTTTTTTTTTTTTTTTTTTTTTTTTTTAGTTCATTCGAAACGTATTTTCATCATTTCATCAGTATTGATCACGTGATATGAGTGAATGTATTGGCGACATTTTTTCGTCTGGCCGCGTTGGAGTCTCAAATTTCAGCGTTTTCGCAAAGCCATTCTTTTACCAACTTACCAAGTTTCGAAAGAATGGTACAAAGAATGCATCCTAAATAATATGAAAAAATTTTAAATTTTTTGTTTACCTCGTTTGAAAGGTATTTTCATATATGTTTTATCTTTTCCAATTTAGACGAAATAGGCTTTCAAATTCAGCTACTTAACAGTGTTCTGCTAGGACGTGTACACAGATCGCTTAAGGCATATTGTAGGTACTTTCGATCGGAAGAAATGACAATTGTGATCCACAAGCTAACTGAAAATAGTGATATCGTAGAAATTGAAGGGAATACAATACTTTCTCTTTTTTCTTTTTTTTTTTTTTTAATATAATCTATTCGCATATTTCTATAGATATAAGTCTATAAGTTTTTTATACGCATTCTTTTTTTTTTTGTCTTTCTTTTTTGGCAAAACAGGTTTTTATTTATTATATATGAGTTTATTAATAGTCGTAGGCTATGTGTGTCCATCTATTTAAATCCTATGCAAAAATTATAAACGTTAGCAAGACATTGTTTCTCTCAAATTTATTTATAAATCTGCTTGAATATATATATATATATACATATTCTTTTTTACTTGCTGACCAGCAGTGGATGGAAATCAGAAGAAGCTATTGCCAATTATTTTATATTATTTTTTATTTTTTTTTGTTTTTGAGATGCCAAGAATGTGTTAAGTAAACTATTGAGGGAAAAGAGAGAAAAAAAAAAAGAAAAAACAAGAAAAAAGCAACTCAAAAAGTCCCAATAACACAGTCGTCCGTGACTTGAAGACCTAAATATAACAGAAAAACCTATTAAGTAAAAGTTGAAATAAGCCAGTGAGCAGAGCGACTTTGGATGTCAGGCGCATATTTTCATTTTTCGAACGAATGATAATCTATTTGCATGTACACATACAAGCACATGTATATATATATATAAATGCATGTATATTTATCTGACATACACGCTCGCATATGAAAGTATTTATAATTTTATTTGTCTGAACAGAACATACATACATACACATATGGAAAGATATATACGTAATATATTGTATCCATTTACTAGCTCCTTTCCTTAGTAATTAAACTCTTATTCGTTTATTGAATTTACTTCAGCAAATTTCTGACACATCGAAGGCAAACATTGATGCTAGCAAATAATTGCAATCGAATGAAGTATTTACAGTTACTCTTGTTTATCTTTACTTTTATTTTTATTTTTTATTTTTTTCTGATTTCTATACTAATAGAAGATAGTTTTTTGTCCGATCAACAACTACTCTCTCACACTTGTTAATTAATAAGTGGCTTGATTTCGTAATAACTGATGTCAGGGAAAGAGAAAATAAGTAAGTAAGAAGTAAGAAAATTATATTGCGTCGCGACCGAATCTTTTCTTCTCATCATTATTTTCCTAAAGAAGACCGAAAAAACAAGATGAAACTAAAGTTCCACACTCTGCAATGTAGTAAGGAAAAAAAAGTAAAAATGGGGAAGTACTTCTTCTATCTATATCTACTTTCCGAATTCTTTTATTTAATACCCATATCGACATATCGGGTTGTGCGGAAAAATTAATCCACCACTTAGCTGATCGCATTCTGCTCTTCAAGTCCCTTCATTTGATACCCAATTGATTATATTATTAAGAGAAAACAAGGGGGTGAAGATAATAATAAATAAATTCGAATTTAACTAGTAAAGACACCTACCATTTCTGTTAACATCACTCTGTTAACGACTTAACAGAGCTCATGTTAAATAATTACAATTGAGATATAGTTGGTTTGAAAGCCTAATCCGTCCATAATAAAAAAAAAGAAAATATTTTTGTGGACATTTCATGAATCCATATAAAACTACCTTTCAAACAAACTAAACAAATTCAAATTCTGCTTATGGGAACTA